GAGCCCCCGCCGCCCCGGGGAGGCTCCCGCGCCGCCGTCCCCAGCAGAGCCGCGTGCCAGCGCCGAGCGGGATGGGGCTGGGGGCTGCGGGCAGGGTCCTGGTGGCAGTGGAGCTGCTCGGAGCCCAGAGTCGGCATCTCCCACCCAGTGCCTTCCTGCTCGGTGCTTTTCCCGCCCGGCACTTTCCCATTGCTGGGGTCAGGATTTTTGCATGCAGCAGCCGCATGACTCATGCGGGCTGAGCTACAGGTAGCCGCATCCTGCTGGGGGAGGCCACCCTGCCCTGGCTCCAGGGCACCTGGGTGCTCTCCGCTGCTGTGGGCGATGCCGCGGGGCTGTCCTGTGCCGGTGGCCATCCCAGCCCGACATCCTCTGCCCGGAGCAGCCAAAGCCCCGCTCTTTCTCATGACTGTTGTACTTACTATCCCTGGTTGAGCTAATTAGGGGCTAATGAGACAAGTCGCCTAAGTGAGGTTTGAGACTAATCCTTGGGCAGCCGCAGATTCCGGGTCAAGTGGGAAAACGCTGGGTGGAGGCAGGGAGCAGGACACGAGGGGCCCGGCAGCTCCGATGCCCGGATGCGCGGCGGGGTCGGGGCTCAGCCCACTGTCAGTGGCCCCGTGGCAGCTCCCGCTTCTCTGCAGGGATCATGGCTGGCTCCAACCGCTCAGGAGACCTGCGGGATGCACAGAAGTCCATCCCCACTGGCACCATCCTGGCCATCGCCACCACCTCGGCTGTCTGTATCCTTAGGGGACGTGGAGGGGACAGAGCGGGTGGGTCAGGCAAGGCAGGGGGGTCTCGAGGCAGGCGTGGGGACTTTGCATCGCGTGGGAGATCCTTGACCCTGTGCAGACATCAGCTCCGTTGTGCTCTTCGGGGCCTGCATCGAGGGCGTCGTCCTGCGTGACAAGTGAGTGTTCCCATGGTGGCCCCGGGCACTGGGACACGGGAGGGACCTGGGCGGAGGAGCCACCACCTGGAGCACTGGGACTGGGGCAGTGACCCATGGGATGGGGTGGGACAGGTTGAAGTGGGGTGGGGGGGCATGGCATGGATAGGATGGGATGGGATGGGATGGACTGGCAGGGGGGGCTGCCGTGGATGGGATGGGGACAGGCTCTGGGGGGCCCATGGCTGGTGAGATGCTTTTGGGAAGCTCTTGTTCCCTGCGCCCTCCCGTGCCCCCCCAGGGCGGGTGTTTGGTGGCACCTCTGCAGCGGGTTTGCATGCGGGGAACTTGTTTGTCAACAGGCAGAGCTGCCGGCGCCGCACGGTGCGGCGCCTATGTAGGGCAGGCGCTCGTGCGCCGCGCTGACACTTCTGGGTCGCCAGCACCAACACAGGCTGGAGCCGTCG